GTTCCAGCTACTTGGAAGGCTGAGGCGGAAGGATCGCCGGAGCCCACCAGGTCGAGGCTGGGTCTGGGTGACAGAGTGAGACTTCAACTCAAAAAAAAAAAAATTTTTGAATGTTTACCTGGACACGCCCAACCCTTTCCCACCCTGTCCAGAGTAGCCTCTATTGTCCCTTTGTCTCCTGCCTGCTGTTTTCCTGCCACATATCTTTCTTTACATCAGGTGGGGACATGATGACTTATCTGAATAAACTGGTGCCCCCTCCCCTGCATGTCCCTCACCTGCTATTCTTCTTAGCAGCAACTCCTGAGCACCTCCCATGCCAGCCTATTACAGTCCGTTTGTTCTTTTCTTTTGAGTCGAAGTCTCACTCTGTCTCCTAGGCTGGAGTGCAGTGGGGCACGCTCACGGCCACACCAGCGTCGACCTGCTGGGTTCAGGCGATCCTTCCATCTCAGCCTTCTAAGTAGCTGGGACTACAGGTGTGCGCCACTATGCCTGGCTAATTTTTTAATTTTTTGTAGAGGCAATGTCTCGCTATGTTGCCCAGGCTGCACAGTTTCTATTTAAGTGGGACCATCCAGTCTGTACCTTTCTTCATCTGATCTCAACTTGTAAGACGTCTGAACCGTTTTCTTTCACATGAGCTCCTCTGGCCTTCCAGTGAGGCTTGCTGCTTTCTCTCCAGGATTTCTCCAGGCCCCGGCCGCCCCAGAAGGCACTCCCGGCGAACCCCGTGCCTGGCCGCAAGACCCTCCCCAGGCCAGGGGGCACGACTCCACCACGGTCTGCTGCTGCCCGCCCTCAGCAGGTCCGGCCTGTGGCAACACCTACCCCAAAGGTGAGTCCCCAGAAACCCTTGAGGTCAAGCCCTTGAGAGCTCCGGGAAGCTGGTGTGGGAGAAAACAAACCAGTTTGGGCCTGAATTTCCAGAACAGAAGCCAAGGACCAAAGCTTTGCCTTTCTTGGCGCCCTCTTGACTGTCCCTTAAGTCTGTGGTGAGGCGTTCTGGCACCATGTGAAGGTGCTGCCCAGCCATGGCGGCTTCAGACCTGCATGTGCGCCGGGTCCACCAAGTGGCACAAGCAAGTCCCTCTCTCAAGTCCCAATGTCCTTATCCACACAAAGTCCAGAACATGTAGCTGTCTCCAGCCTGTCGGAGGACACGGCCCCTTGTTACCTCTTCTCTTCTCTGTGGCTGCCATGTCGCCAGTTCTGAGAGCTGGGTCAGAAAGGCACGAGGCGAGGAAGCTGGCCGACAACCTGGCATTGGAACTCTCCAGACTTTTACTGCAGATCTAGGGGGAGGGAAGAGGGAGGGGGCTGGTCAGCTGGAGATGGGGGCACTCACCACACCCCTCACCGCAGGGCTGGTGGTCGGGCAAGCAGACACATGGCCAGACTCCCACAGGGAACCTTCTGCAGATGGCCCATCTATTCCTCTGAGATGCTAGAATCGGGGAAACAGTTTCCCCCCTGAACCCACTAGGCTGCGTCGAGCTGATGTTTTTCTCCCTCCCTTCTCTTTCTCTTCAGTTTCCAGAATACAGATTGCAAAGAACTGGGGGGATAATGAGCTCCAAAATCTAGACCTGCCTGAGGGGCTCCTCCCTTCCCTGAGTCCCGTGGACATCACAGAGGACCGTGGCCACGGAACCTGGAAGCAGCATGTCCGGCCACCTCTGAACACCCCCCTGCTGTGGCCTCGGAACCACCACATCTCCAAAAACCTCCTTCCTGATTCAGTGCCTCCTTGGCTTCCACAGAGGCCTGAGGGGCTACGATCCACGGCTTCTGGGTATTGTTCTGTGCAATATACAGCTTGGTCAGGGAGGGAGAGCACAGAGGGAGACCGTCCTCCACTTTCCCAGCCCAGGTGCCCTGGAGGCAGTCCCGGCAACTGGGAGCAGTCCTGTGCAGGCTCTCGGGCCAGGCCTCTGCTGGCAGGAGCCACCCCTCCGTGCTTGGCAGAGGGTACACGCCAGAGCCTCCCTTTGCTTCCACCACCCTTGAAGGGCCCCAGCTGGGCAGGGTTGCCACTCACCCCCACTTTATCTGTCGGGGCTTGAGGGAGGGTCAGACCAGCCACTGCTGCAGCCCTGTCTGAGGCTTGGTTGAGGTGACAGCTTCTGGCTATACAGTTGCATGTGACAAGCCAGTCCCCTTCCCCACTTCTCCCCAAACCCTCATGCCCCCTTACCCACACGGGTCACCCTGACTCAGACAGGTACTATTTGTAGACAGTGTAGACAGCAGGGGGAGCACCCGGCTGGTGCCTCCTCTGAGCCGCGATGCCAAAGGTTCTGCTCCCACCTCTTGGTCACGTTTGGTTGCCCTTTGTTTTCTCCTGTGCACTTGCCGAGTGTCCCCGGCTTTTTGTCTTTTCCTTCCCCCATGTCCCCCTCTCACGTGTGGTGCTTTGGCGAGTGGTCCCTCAGCAGTTCCGACTCTCTGGTGACCAGGTGCTTGTGACCAAGTAGACTCGGACGTGGCCACTGGGGTCACATCTTTACTGTTCTTTGTGTTTTGTGACCTCAGCAGGTAAGGCCTTCCTCCTTAGTCCCTGTGCTCGGCCCAGGTGAGGTCCCAGGGATGGCAGCAGGTGCAGTGCAGGGAGCAGACGTCCTAGGAAGCCCAGCTACTAAACAAATCACACACAGGGAGCCAGCCTGTCCCCTGTGGCCTAGTCACTGACTTGAGGCGGGACTGGGCCCTCTGAGCAGAGAGCAGACCCGTTTCTGATCAAGGGAGCTGCCACAGGCCCCTGGGGAAAGCAGCCATCGACAGTCATGCCAGGACAGCTGCGCTGGGCCCCGAGCCCTGGCCGGCAGTCTCATCCACTTCCTTTTATTCTCTCCCCTGTCACTGCCCTTACCTGACCCTCGCAGAAAGAGCTCAGCGCTGGGCTCCAATGGCACCTGGCCTCCTGCAGCAGGGAAGGGGGGCTGTGTGGGGCTCTGCTGATAAGATGGTTTTCCCAGACTGGCTGGAGATTTTTCTGAGACCGGCTCCCACCCCCAAAGGTGCTGGGTGGCTCTCCACAAGGGAGCTGCCCGACTTCCTCTCCTTTGAGACTTCCCAGGGGCCTCCCCACCTCCTGTAATGAGCTCTTGAAAACCTCAACGCCACCCACCACTCCAAATCCTCATTATGGTTCTCTGCACACAGTAGGTGCTTAATAGATGTTCTTGGGTTTATAGATAAGTGGGAGAGATGGGATGTGCACTTGGGACAAACCGGGGGTGGGTTTAGCAAGATCTCAGGAAAATGAGTTTCTCTCCCCTCCGGGTGGCTGTGGTACTGGTGCCCTGTCTCCCTGACACAGACCACCCTTGCCCTCAGATCCATTCCCCACCTTCCTCATGGCCTCAGTAAGTCAGGAGACATTGAAATGGGCTACTCCACACAGCCCTGCCTCAAGGCTGGGTCCGAGGAAACACAAGGTGAAATCTCCCCCCCGCAACTCCCCTGCCTAAAACCCCCAAACCAACAATGTCCTCAGGCCCAGCCCACGCCTCACTGATGCTCCTGTGGCCTGCCCAGCTCTTCTCCCTGCTGTCAGTCACAGCTGTTGTGACTGCACGAACCTCCTGAGCCTGCAGTCCACCCTCCCTGGACCCACACCGAAGAGAGACCTGGGTGGTTTTCTTGCTTCTTGTTTTGTTTTTGTTTTTGCATTATTTTAAATCCGCCTCCATCCTGTAATTTTGTACTGTGAACTGGAAGATGGTGGCATTGTTTCAAATTTCATGGAGACTTGGCAGCCTCCATTTCACTCCTGGCTCTCTGTTCAGGGAGGCTACCCAGGAGGAGGACCGGCCATTATGCATCACCCCCTTTTCTTTCCAGTGCTCAGTGTGCTGCTTTGCATTGTCAAATACTAGTAAATCCAGACTGAGGGAAGGAGAGGCCCTATTCCGCAGGATTTCTGCAGGAAGGGGAAGGAGATATTGCATTTGGAGCGGCAGGGGCTATTGCAGTCAGACCTACCTACCATGAGACCTGCAGGCATCTCAGAGCCCAGGCAGAAAAGGCCTTTTCTCATATTGGAAGAAGTAAACACGGCTAGAAAAGAGCCACATCAGGGAATGACTTTGTGCCCAGGCTTTTTTGGGGAGAGGGGTTGTGGGGGACTGCCTGCCGGCTGAGACTGAGAGAGGGCCCCACATTCAGGGTTTGGTGGGGAGGGAGAAGCTTCACTTGGGTGTGGTCTGCTGAGTGAACGAGCTCTGTGTTCAGATGGAGATGTGTGTGGATCTTTCTACAAGTTCCATCAGCTTCCTGCCAGTTTTTACAACCCTGGAATGTTTTTCTGAAACAAACCTCTAGGGAGATAGGGCACACTCCCTGTCTGGGAGTTTCAGCCAGGGCACCTGGCTCCAGTGTGGAACCATCTGCTAGCCATGGGTTTCAGTTAGCCTTGTCAACTTCTCTCTATGAAAGGAAAGTCTTTTCTGGCCCAGCTCTGAGACACCTGCAGGTTTTCTGGCGTGTTCTCCATATTGCAGTAGTCCCACAGCAATAGCCCCTGCCATCTCTTGAGATGCTCCTTTTGAACAAGGGTTCTCCTTACCCACGCCCTCATTTGTTCTGACTTGACAGAAGATGTGGAAGACTTGGATTTTTAAGATTGGGGACCAGTTCTAAAGTCAAAAATTGTGTTAACTGCGTGTCTAATGCCTCTGCTGGACGCCCAAGAAAGCCAAGGGAACCCCAACTGGAAAGGTCCCCAGACCTGAGGGAAGCCTGCTAAGGAAGTTCTGCAGAATCCGAGCCCTGCGCCCCCAAAGTTGTCTTCCATGCATCCTGTCACACTGTCCACTCTGTGTGTGTGTGTTGTGTGTGTTGTGCGTGTGTGCACGCATGTGCACAATCCAGGGCAATGTGAATTTTCTTTTTATTTGGGAGATTGCTCACGGAAAACCGATCTTCTCTCGTCCACCTATTAATTGTTTACAATATTTGTACATCTATGCAAAATACTTGAATGGGCCATGGTGCCTTTTTTCCTTATTTGTATTTAATTAAAATTAATTGTCATTTGAAATGTTAGCTGGTTTGGCAACTCTTTTGTGTGTTTATCTTTTGTCCCATTGCCCGGACTGGGTCGGGCCCATGACATGGGGATGCCTTCTGAGGGGTCCCCAGAAGCCAGGGCTGCAGCCTAGGCCATCCATTGTGGTGGACCTGCACCACAGCAGAGCTCCAGGTAGCCCCATGACCAGTAGAGGGGGCTGTGCGTCTTGACACCCGCACACAGACTGGTCTGGTGGGTCTTGGCTCATTAAAGGCCTGAGTGATTCTGGGACACTCTGGTGCAGTTTCATCTCATCCTACACAATTGCCATTAGAAGACAGCTGAGACCCTTTGCTCACCCCCCCTCATCTTTTTGCAGGGATCCTACTTTAGAGAGAGGAAAGACTAGCCCAAGGCCTCTTGGGCTGGGTTGGCAGATGCAGCCAGGGACAGGGTTGGCCGTGTTTCTGATTCCAGAATCCTGTACCCATCAGTGCTCCCCAGTTCACTAAAGAGTACCACCTGCTTCCTTATTTGAGCCCTGCCTCAATCTTGAGTTTCTTTCAGAGAAATGGAGGATTAATAACCACAATAGGAGTAAGTTACTGGGCACAGTCAGCCTTCTGTATCTGTGAGGGTTTGTATCCATGGATTGACCCAATAGCAGATTGAAATAGTCAAAAGATTAACGAGTATAATAAAAATGATACAAATTACAATATAGTATAACAGCTATTTACATTGTATTCGGTATTATAAGAACCTAGAGATGATGTATACTGGCAAATGCAGATTCTGTGTAAGTCCACCATTTTATATGAGACATGAGCATGGATTTGGGTATCTGAGGGGGTCCTGGAACAAGTACCCTGTGGATACCAAGCTACAACTCTACTTAACACATGCGAGGCACTGCAGGTCACTTTTTAAAATATGTATGATCTCTTTAAGACTTCACAAAAACCCTGGAGGGGATCCTTGACGCCTGATTATACTTTTCTAACCTCTCGTGGTTCTGCAGGTGTCTAAGGGTACTAGAGGCATCTAAACACAAGTGCTTTCACCACTCACATGCCTGTCCCTGAAACTGACCTCCACCCAAAATTCCCTGCCTGTCTCACAGGCATCTGTCCACTCTCTTGGCCAGTCTCTGGGCTGAGGTCATCTGCTGGTCAGCAGCATAATGCAGAAAGCCTGGTTGGAAGACCTGGATTCAAGTCCAGGTTGAATCTGCTCCTTCCTAGATGTGTGCGCCTAGATAGGTTCCAGAACCCAGAGTCTCTTTTCGCTACACAAATAGGACTGATACCTACCTCAAAAGTGCGATCGCCAATGATGTGCTCTATGTGAAAACACACAATTGTACCTGGCGCAGGCTACAAGCTCTGAAACTGCTACCTATGTCCGTTTTAAGTCGCTCTGTTTAACGAGCCAGGGTTCTGTTAGGATCTGCCCTGTGCTGAGAGCTGGTCTTCGACAGGGTTTGGGCAAGGAAGGACTGTAGTACTGTTCTTCATTCAGCAGATCTTTTTGAGTGCCAACTATGTGCAGGTCACTGAGGACAGGCAGTAAGTCAAGGCCAAATCTCACAGAGCTTATAGCCATGTGGGAAGAGAACACAGACCACAAGGAGATACATGAACAAACTAGCATCAGATTATGCAACAGGAACAAGGTTAGTCTTCTGGACACACTGTGCCTGGTGGTTAATACTTGACTCAGAACCAGAGAGCAACTTTGACTCTTCCTGGCTGCGTGACCTTGGGCAACTATTTAACTTAAGTTCCTTTCCTTATCTCTAAATGGGAATAAAACATATCTACGTTGGGATTTGTGAGGAGGTAAAGAGAGAATTCATGGTAGATGGAAAGTACTGACTATGTCTGGGGCCTGGCAAGGGCTCAGGCGTTAACTAAGAATGAGTGGTCTCCACGGACTCTATTCCAAAAACAACCTTTCCCTTTCTAGCGAGGGAGTAACTGGGAGGGACACTCATTCAGATATTGGGGACCATTGGAAGTCGATTCACCAACTCCACGCTCAACGAAGGTCAAGACACAAATATCAAGTAAATATATGTCAAAGTCTTTATTCTTAACTGGGCAGACCACACACTCGGGGCCCTCAGTGTACTGCCAGTCTCAGCATCCAGCGGTTGCCCTGATTTCGGTTACAGAAACCCATGTTCATTACAAACGGGGGTCTGAGGCAGGAGGTGCAGAAGTGTGTTGATAGCCGAGCCTGGCACTCCAAGGTCAGCAGGGCTTGTCTGGGCTACACTTGGGGCAAGGTGTAAAGACATGGTGCAGGTAGGGAGTCATGAGGGTGGAGGAGCTCTGTGCCCACGTGGGTGCTAAGGAACAAGTCTTCCTATTTCTGGATACACTGGATCCCCACCCTCCCCCGCTACGGTCCTTCTGACCCCTACACTCTTGCAGCTAGAAAGGAGACGGAAAAGGAGGGGCATCCACTGCGTCTCCAGCTGCTCTAGTCCGTGGATACCTCTGGCCAAACGTGAGGGACAAAGGCACTCCCCATCACAGGTGGTGTTGGAGCAGACACGGCCTGCTGCTTCCCAGTGTGTGCAGCTCATCAGAGGTTTAGGGATCTGGTCAAACAGCCAGAACACACCCCGTGCCAAGCCTGCACCCCACTCAGTCACTGAGATTCAAAACTGATCCTGCTGGCCAAGCCTTTAAGGCTGCAGCCCAGAAACTGCCCCAAAGCCTTTCTCTCCTACGTTCCCTGTTGAGCACCAGAGTGAACACCAAAGGCGGTCCCTGGTTTCCGGAGAGGCTGCAACTGCTTTCTGCCAAATCCCGACTCTGCTCCTCACTCTCTCACCTCCCCAGATCACATTTGGCTTGACTTCTTGAGGAAAATGAAAGCGCATTCTACCATATTCTAGCTCAACAGGCAGGTCACTTTGAAGAGCAGTGCAATTGCTGGTCTTTTTCCAGAAAAGGCAAGATGAAGCCCTGGATTTGCCAGCAGAGGCTGGCTATGCAGCAACTTTTGTTGTTGCCGTTCTGAGTTCTAACATCACTGCCTGAATGTCTCCGGACTGAGTCTTCGACGTGCATACAGAGGGAAGGGGTGGGGTGAAGAGGACTTGGTGAACCCCAAAATGCTGACCACCAGGCTGGGGGGCCCAGGGAATGGGTTGGTTGAAATCTGTCCCTGAGACACCAGGTGGCTTTCACAGTAAGGAGGTCGGCCGAGGTCTTGCTTCTGTCTCCAAAGAGGAAGTGGCAAAAGCAACAGACGTTTTATGTCACTTGTGTCCTTGTCAGCTCTGGAAGGCACTTTGCTCCCCGGGCCTCTGGGAGCCTGCTCTATTTCATTCTGGGGCTAAGAAATGGAGATTCCGTCTCAGGTGGGGAACTGGTGTGAAGGAATTCCTGACAGCCAGTATCTCAGGGAAGTTCTTGGACTGTACTACATTCAGTGGGTCAAATTCTTTTTCACAACATAGAGATGGCACCAAGGGAACAGAGGAGACAGGAGGTCCAGGGGATCTTTCAGCACCAGCAAAAACTAGGGTATTTGGTCACTGAGGCTGTGTCTCCAGGCAGCTCTGTAGAGACTTTTCTCCTGAAAACAGCGATGAGGTATACATGACTATCACGAGAGAAGGGAGCCCATTGGTCACAGCCGAAAATAACTGGGTGGTTTTGAAACTGGGTGGTCCAGCTGTGCCATCAAGCTCCTCCTCCTCTCATATTCCAAGTTTAAGAATGGATTATAAATACTTTCGGCTTCTCTTCTGGCGACGGGGTGCTGGCAAGCTCTATATTGTCTACCAGGACGTTCTTGTCTTCCAGTCTAATGACGGTGGGCTCTGGGGCAGGAGCTGGGGGCGGGCTTTTGTGCATGTGGGGAAGGTTGGCCCAGCTGATATCCAAGTCCTTGAAGGCATGCAGCATGAACACACCCAGGATGACTGTGACGAAGCCGGAGAGTGTGCCTGCAATGTCCACGGCCGACATACTATACCACTCCTTGAAGAGAATGATGGAGGAGGTGACAACCACCGTGGTAAAGAACACGTAGTAGATGGGGAACACCAGCGAGGTGTTAAAGATGTCCAGTGCCCTGTTGAGGAAATTGACCTGAGTGCTCAGGGAGAGTGCCAGGATGAGGGACAGGATGTAGGGCAGGGGATGCCGTACCACTGGCAGCCCTTGGAAGAAGTTCTTGATGGTGATACCCAAACCCTTGACGGCCGCCACCGAGAAGGCCCCGATCACGGAGCAGATGATGATATAGATGAGGATATTCCTCTGCCCGTAACGAGGGGCGACAATGAATATGAGGATGAGGCAGAACACCAGCAGAAGCACAGAAAACACGATGTACCCTGCGGGAGGAGAGGAGAGACATCACCCATCTGCAGGGGGTCAGCATCGAGGGCCTGCATCCATGGCAAGGGAGGTGGCATTTAGATCGTGAGCTCTACAGCCAGACAGACGCAGGGACTAGTTTCAGCTTCATGACTTTTCAATAGCTTGGGTAAGTCATTAAATCCCCAAGACCTCATTTTGAAAAGTTGGCCAACAACAGCCAGGCACAGTGGCTCATGCCTGTAATCCCAGCACTTTGGAAGGCCAAGGTGAGAGGATTGCTTGAGCCCAGGAGTTTGAGACCAACCTGGGCAACATGCAAGTTCCCATCTCTGCATTTTTGAACTGGAGTCTCACTCTGTTGTCCAGGCTGGAGTGCAATGGCACGTTCACGGCCACTGCAATCTCAACCTGCTAGGCTCAGGCAATCCTTCCACCTCAGCCTTTCGAGTAGCTGGAACTACAGGCATGAGCCACCACGTCTGCCTAATTTTTAAAATTTTTTTGTAGAGGTGAGCTCTTGCTATGCTGCCCAGGTTGGTCTCAAACTCTTGGACTCAAGCAATCCTCCCTCCCACCTTGGCCTCCCAAAGTGCTGGGATTACAGGGGTGAGCCACTGCCCCCACCAATTAAAGCCAGGAAGCCTTAAGGGAGCCTTGCTAATGAGTACCAGCCCACCAACTTTCTTTCTTTCTTTATCCCGCCCTCTCCGCTAGGTGGCAGCACTTATGAAATGGTCAGACCCCAACCGGACCTTTCACCAGGTTCATCCCCCAGCCGTTTTCCTGTCCCCCAGGTGCCTGGAGCCCACCTGTGTCCTTCATCTTGGAAGCCATCTGCATGATAGTTGTGATCTTCTCTTCCTCGGGGGCGTGTATCACCATCACGGTGCTTCCAGCCACACAGATCACACAGCCCAACTTCCCCAGCAGGTTCAGATTCTCTCCCAGGAAATACGAGGACAGGACGGCACTGCACACAGAAATTGGAGACAGGGAGTACAGTGGCCAGGCCTGTCCCTGCTTCCCGAAGAAAAACTCATGGACAACAGCGGGTCAGAGCTCACTACTTCCTCATGGGGCAGCCTTCCTAGACCCTCAAAAAAAAAGTCTGACATAGAAACTCACATCTGAGAGGGTTACACTGTTTGCTGGAGGAATAGAAATGGATTTCTTTCATTTTATAGTATTCCCAAGCAAAAGAATTGGAAGACTCCTTCAAAACACTTTTGGCTGACTTCCTGCCCAATGAACACATCCATTTTTTAGCACTCAGGGAGCTCACCCCTTCATAAGCTAAATAAGTTTGCTGTAATTATAGATTAAAATATATCTCCTAATAATTTCCTCTCCTTGTCCCATTTCTGTTCCTTGGGTCATTCAGAACAAATACCTTCCTTACTCTCTTTGTATATGCCAGTATAACTGATTGCAGTGACAATCATAAGCATTATGCCTTGGGTATATATTACCTACCACAGACAGCTAGGAATTTTTTTATCCCATTAACATCTCACAAGTCCTTAAAAAATTTTTTTTCGTGGGGGTGGGGGGGGCAGGCCTCACTCTGTTGCCAGGCTGGTCTTGAACTCCTGGCCTCAAGTGATTCTCCCACATTGGCCTCCCAAAGTGCTGGGATTGCAGGTGTGAGCCACCACACCTGGCCATCATCGCACAACTCTGCAAAGTAAAATATCCTACCTCCACTTTACAGAGGAGACAACTGAGTCTCATTGAAGTTAAAACGACTTGGCAAGGTCAAATGACTGGCAAGTAGTTGAATCAGAATTTGAGCTCATGTTCTTTCTAACTATAAAGCTGAGCTGGTTTTCCTCTACACCTCATTGAAGAGGATCCAAGTAACTTCCCTGAGTCTTCAATTTTGGGGCAAAACAACTTCAGTTCCTTCTGTTCCTTGGTGACATGCTTTCTGTTCCCTTCACATTCTCTAGATAAGCCAGCTGAGGTAAGAGAGGAAGGGAGGGAAACTGGGCGAGTCAGGTGTGATCACTGGGGCATGTTTCTGTTTCTTTATAAAGGTGGCAAAATCTGTTAAAAATTAAAGTAAAATCTATTGGTTGTCCCAAGACCCCATCAGTCTCGAAATCCTGGTTCAAGCTGTTGGGAAAAAGGGGATTGATACCCGAATTCCAGTGTCTTTCTCCTCTAAAACTGCCAAAGTCACTTTGCCCACAATATCCAAGAGACCTTCTCACAAGAGGAACCACACACTGAACGGTACCATGCTTCTCCCAGCTTCCCAGGGGTGGGAATTTGCAAACTCACCAGATATGTGATAGTGGTATCGCAGCTCCATCAGCTGCAAAATTAGCTAGGCCTGTCGTGCATTGAGTTGTGGCCCTGTTTGTTTTTTGACCATTTAAATGTCGCAAAAGTGTCATCAAGACAGTTAAACAAAACAGAAGAAATTATGGATACTGGCTGTGGTCAGTTGGAGTTTACCAGCATTCCATGGTTAGGCCAACGATCAGAGCTTCTTCAAATGATGCTCAGACATCAACTCCCTCTCCCCGCCCAAGGAAGGACACACATTTAGTATCCATTAGTTTGAAAACTATCAGACATTTTTAGTGTTTCCTTGAGAGGCAACATGGCATAGTGGTTAAGTTCCCTGGCTCTGGAATTAGACTGCCTGGATGGCATCCTGACCTGGCCACTTCGAACCTGATGACCGTGGTTGAGTTGCTTCACCTCTCTTGGCCTCAGGTAGGGATGCCATGAGGAATAAATGAGCTAATACATGGGATACATTAGAAAGTTCAGCAGATAGTAAATCCCTAACACCTGATAGCCATTCTGTGCTAAGTTATCTCATTTAGTCCTTGGAACAACACCTCCAGATAGGTATTATTCGCATCCTTATTTTGCAGATGGGGAAACTCAGGCTTCGAGTGGTTAAGTGACTTTGACTATGGTAACAAAACTACCATAGAGTGGTAGAGCAAGGATCAGAACTCAGATAATGTTCATCTCGGGCTCGTGTCCCTGTATGTTCTTCCATTGGGGCACCAAAGTATTGACATGAGACACTCAGCCTGCTGGCGGCGGAAGTCTTCCCAACTGGTTTGGGCTTGGCCTGCCCCTGTATCCCCCAGTCAGTCCAGGGGATGCTGGGAAAGTAGCAGGAACCATTTTCAGGAGCCAGAGCTCTGAGCAGCATACTGCCTCTTGGGGCTGGGACCTACCCGGGTTCCTAATGGCCAAGTGGCAGTTGACCCCATTTGACAATTCCAGGCCTTGACAAATTGAAAACAAGAGGGTGCCAAAGACAGCTAGAGAGGGGACAACAACCTTATGAGGACACTCAACGCTCCCAGGGGTGTGATGACGGTTGCAGGTGCAAATGCGTAGGCCCCGAAGTTGGCGACTTCTCCTGCAGCCACTAGGAAATGAAGGGAGAAGCGAGGCTAGCGTGGTGCAGAGGCACCATCTCCACGCCAGACGAAGCTGGTGGAGTGGCTTCATTCAGGGCTTCACCAGCCCTAGAATCCCAGACCAGCATTCCCCAAAATCCTGATCCTTACGTGCGATTCCAGGACAGTCTGATTAGCAGGTCAGTCCCAGAGTATCCTGACCAAATCCTTCCTTTTTAAGATGGTGAAACTAAGGCCCAGCACTTAAGGTCACATGATACGCTTGTGGGTAGAAGCCCTCCTGTTTTTCAGGTCTCTAGGCTTCTAGTCCAAGCCCGGTTAAGTTTGCCTCACGGGTTGCCAATATTTTTGAGCTATATCTTTAATTTTTTTCTTACAAATGATAGAGTAGGGGTCTTGATAGGTCCCCAGGGTGGTCTTGAATTCCTGGCCTCAAGTGATCCTCCTGCCTCAGGTCCCAAAGTATTGGGATTACAGACTTGAACTACTATACCCAGCCTTAGACTATAGTTAAGTTTTAGAAAGCGTTATCAGATGAACAGTTACATTTATGAGCTTTCCAGGTACCAGTTGGTCTATGGACCCTCTTTCCCAGCAGAACTATGGACAATCTAGATCAACAGGCAGGTTGTTAGAAAAGTCTGACATTCCAAGGGGCTTAAATCCTCCCCATCTGAGTTACCAGCTTGCAAACTCCTGCAAGTGCCTTTTCTGTCTCTCTGATGGGAGAGAACAGCCTGGGGGTCCTCTTCAAAAGCAGGTGATGACAGTGATGGCTCCCCCAAGACAGGTGCTAAAACCTGACACAGAGGACTAAAAAAGAAGCCTGGATCATTATCCACCTAAAAAGTTAGGGTTTGACAGTCAGAGAGGGCAGGGTGGAAAGTGGAGAAATGTATGGGTATATAAATTGGGGCAAACCTTAAGAGGCAGACCAGCTATATTCCAAGGGGGCTAACAAATTAATTTCCTGGGGAATAAAGGAGCTGGCTTAGGAGTCCTGGTCCACTGCCAACAGGCAGTGGTATCATCGCCCGAGGTTTCAGGGAGGTTGAGAAAATACGCCTTTATTGTACAAACATCGTATAAGCTCTGTATAAACCTCTCTGGGTTCCTCTCTGAGAGTAGACACTTCATGAATGTAGACTGACTTCAAGATCAAGAAAAAACATTCTACCAGCAAAGGCTGTCAAGATGTCCTAATTTCCACAGTGCAGACAAAAATGCACCCCCCCCGGCTTCACCCCCCCATCTCCATCTCTGCCATCCATTGGCTACTGTTATTAGTAGCCTAGAATTCACTTACTGGTGAGAAATCCTGCCCACCACATCACGTCCTTCAGGTAGCCATAGCCTCCGTCCACTGTAGAGGGAATGGACACAGAGTTAGGGACAACTTGGTCACGCGTTCTCAGGCCCCTTTCCTAACTCTGCCTTCACGCTCTGGGCTTTCTAGGCCTTCCTCGTGGCTTGGTTCTGGGGTCTCTCCTGGGTGAGTTCATTCATTCCCAAAGTTTTTTGTTTTGTTTTGTTTTGTTTGAGTTGGAGTTCACTCTGTTGCCCAGGCTGGAGTGCAGTGGCACAATCACAGCTACCGCAGCCTCAACCTGCTGGGCTCAGGTGATCCTTCCACCTTAGCCTCCCAAGTAGCTGGGACTATAGACATGCACTACCATACCTGGCAAATTTTTTAATTTATTGTAGAGATGAGGTCTTGCCACATTACCCAGGCAGGTCCCAAACTCCTGGGTCCAAGCAATTCCTTTGTCCCAGTCTCAACCTCCCAAAGTACTGGGATTACAGGAGTAAGCTGCCTCGCCTGGCCCCAAAGTTTTAGATACCATCTATATATGGCGTCCCTATTTCACATCGGTAGACAGGGCCTTTCTTCTTCTGAGCTCAGCTGTTGATCCACTGCTTACATAACATCTCTCAGATGTCTCCCTGGCCTCTCCATCACTGTCCTAAATGGAACTCCTGCTTTCACATGCTCTCCGCCCACCCATCGGATGAAACTCAGGACATGGAACTGCCAGGTTTATGCCAGAAACTTATTTGCACTTTGGAAGCAGACCATTGGGGTTCCAATTCTGGGGTCTCCATTCCTGATCTGTTCTTTCATAACACCGCTCTTTTCCCTCATGGCACTATCCTTTACGAGTGTTGGTTTGCTTATGCTCTGGCATCTCCCCACTAAAATGGAAGCTCTGCAAAGCCAGACATTGTACCTTCTTTGTTCAAAGCCTGGCACACGGTCAACTCAATAACATTAGCCAGGGACTTGCTTTTGGGCTCCTCTTCCTCCCTCTCTGTCTGCATCCAGGCTGATCTTCTGACTCTGCCTGCAAGAAGCATCCCACACATGTCCACTCCACTGCCACCCCTACAACAAGGCAGGTTCATCTCCGGTCCAGGATGAGGCCACAGCCTTTTTCAGGGTTCTAGTCTTAATCTTTCAATAAGCCATTTCTTTCCTGGTAGCCAGGAGTCTTTTAAGCACATTCATCAGAATGTGCAACTCCCCAGCTTAGGGCTGACCAGTGGTTTCCCACAGCTCTTAGGAGGAAGACCCAATCGTCAAAGTCCTGGCCCTGCTCCCCGGTCTACATGCATCTCCTGTCACTCTTTTCTTTCTCTTAGTTTTTCAAGAGTGATTAACTCTTTCCTGCCTCAAGTCCTTTGCGCATACTTCTCCCTGTGTCCAGAAGACTCTTCCTACTAGTATTTCCCTAGGTCTGCACCCCCTTTACAGATGCCCCTGTGGATGCTGCTTCCCTATGATGCCCTCTCTGACCCCCTGACATTATCACCTCTGCTTGGGTTCTCCTTCATGACACCCAGTTCTTCTCCCTCGTGGCACTATCACTTAGAGTTTGAGTTGATTTGCTTATTTTCTAGCATTGCCCCACTAAAATGGAAGCTCCACAGAGCCAGGAATTGTGTCTGCTTTGTTCACAGCCTGGCCCATGGTCAGCACTCAATGGTATTAGCAACGAGGATGGTGATGGTGATGGTATGGGTGATAACGGGAGATGTATTTGAGATAGTTCTGTGAAAATCCAAAAATTGTATATTGCTATTTGGATGTTCACTCTTCCAGGAAGAAGGTCTGCTTTCATCAGTTCCATCAGAGTTTCCCCTGCATGTTAAGAACTCTGAGTGGTAGAAATGTGGATGCAGCTGGAGGTCATTGCTCTAAGCGAATTTACATAGAAACAGAAAACCAAACACCGCACGTTCTCACTTGTAAGTGGAAGCTCATCACTGGGCAGGCATAGACATAAGTTGGGGACAGCAGACACTGGGGACTCTAAGAGGAGGGTGGGGGTCAAAAAATGACCTATTGGGTACCATGCTTACTATTTGGGTGACAGGTTCAATAGAACCCCAACCTTCACCATCACACAATATGCCCACGTGACAAACCTGCACACGTGCCCCCAAATCTAAAATTAAAACAACAACAACAACAACTCTGAGATCATTTTACCCCAGAGTTGAAATCACAGAAGGTACTAAAAGAATGGAGTGGTGGAAAAAATGGATTCCAAGGAAATCGTCTTTCTGCAGGGTCCATGGTAACTCCCCTGTTCTCTCCTGAGAAATGTTCCTGGCACTTTGGGAGGTCTCTGGCCTTTCAAACTCTTGTCTACAAATGACAGATGAAGCAGCAATGACCACTGCTCCCGACGACACCCTTGTACCTCACAGTCTTGATGCTAGCGCGCACATGGGCCTCTAAACCAGTGTGTCTGACTGTCTGCAGGACTCTCCCACTTAAATGTCACTAACACCAACACTAGTGCTTCCTCTGTGCTGGGCATCTTTCTAAACACACTGTCTTTTCTTATAACCCTTGAGGCTGATACTATTCGTATCCTCATTTTATTGATGAGGCACAGAAAAAGTCATTTTCTTGCCCAAGATCATATCACCAGGAGTTGAGGAGCCAGAATCGGAACCCCAAAGATCTGCTTTCAAAGCACCATTGTCCCACAGAAACATTATACTAAACATGCCCAGACCGAACACATCATTTCCCATAAACCTGTCCTCTTTCTGCAATCGACATCTCAGGAAACAGCACCGTCATCTCTCCCACTGCTCATGTCAAAACCTGAGTCATCATCTGGGTGCAGTGGCTCACACCTGTAATCTCAGCACTTTGGGAGGCTGAGGTGAGAGGATTGCCTGAGGCAGGAGCTCGAGGCCAGCCTGGGCCACTTGGCAAGCCCTCATCTCTACAATAGATAAAACAATTATCTGGTTGTGGTGGCCCGCGCCTGTAGTCCCAGCTACTTGGAAGGCTGAGGCGGAAGGATCCCCTGAGTCCAGCAAGTCAAGGCTGCAGTAGCCATGAGCATGCTACTGCACTTCAGCCTGGGCGACAGAGTGAGACTCTGACTCAAAAAACCAACCAAAGGAACAACAACAACAACAACAAAAACCTGAGCTATTATTGATTCTTCTTCTCACCCTTCCCACGAAGCCAGTCAACATCAAAGCCAGTAAATGCTACCTTCAAAAGCTCTCTCTATGGCTGAGCACAGTGGCTAATGCCTGTAATCCCAGTACTTTGGAAGGCCAAGGCGGGAAGATCACTTCAGCCCAGGAGTTCAAGACCAACCCAGATAACAAAGTGAGACCTCGCCTCTACAAAAAAATTTTAAGATGACCTGGGCGTGGTGTTGCTCACCTGCAGCCCTAGCTACTCAAGGATGTGGAGAGAGAGGTTGAGGTGAGAGGATCACCTAAGTCCAGGAGGTCAAGGTTGTAGTGAGCCTTGACTGTGTCACTGCACTCCAGCCTGGGCATCAGAGTGAGAGACTGACTCAAAAAAAAAAAAGAAAAGAAAAGAAAATCTCTCTTTAGAATTCACCACTTGCCTCCATTCCCATGACCACCTTCCAAGACCAAGTCCTGTCCTCTCACTCACCTCACTGGTCTCCCAGTCTCCAGCCTTGTCCCCAAACTCACTCTTCACTCAGCAACCAGCGATCTTTTCAAATCAATTCTACCTGTGTCCCTCCCCTGCCTAAAATCTTAGTCACTCAATTGCACTCAAGCTCTGTGGCCCCGTTTCCAAGACCCTTCATGAGCTGCCCTGACATCACCTTGCACCCCTCCCTGCTCCAGCTACCCTGATGTCAATTTCTGACAGAGGTCTCTCGCCTCTGAGCCTTGGCACCTGCTGTTCCCTCTACCTGGAATACTATGTCTTCCTCTTCTCCCCTTTGCCTTGCTGTCTGCTCACCATTTGGGTCTCAGTTTAGAAATCGCTTCTTAGAGAAAGCTTCCCCCAGACCCCAAGTCTGGGCTATGCATGTTCCTTTATAAGATTTCCTACTGGGGCCCAGTGGCTCAAGCCTGTAATCCCAGCACTTTGGGAGGCCGAGGTGAGAAGATTGCCTGAGCCCAGGGGTTCGAGACCAGCGTGGGCAACTTGGTGAGACCTCATCTCTACAATAAATCAAAAAAATTATCTGGTCGTGGTGGCGCATGCCTGTAGTTCCAGCTACGTGGAAAGCTGAGGCAGAAGGATCACCTGAGTCGAGGCTGTGGTGGCCGTGAACATGCCACTGTACTCCAGCCTGGGAAACAGAGTGAGACTCCAACTCAAAAAGCAAATAAACAAAAAATTTTTTCATGGATACATTTTTTTTTTTTTTTTTTGGAGACAGAGTCTCACTCTATTTCTCAGGCTGGAATGCAGTGGTGCAATCATAGCTCACAGCAGCCTTGATCTCCTGGGCTCAAGTATTCCTCCTGTCTCAGCCTCCCAAGTAGCTGGCATTATAGGCATATGCCACCATGCCCAGCTAATATTTTTTAAATTTTTTGTAGAGACAAGGTCTTGTTATGTTTCCCAGGTTAGTCTCAAACTCCTGGCCTCAAGCAATCCTCCAGCCTTGGCCTCCCAAAGTACTGGAATTATAGGCTTGAGCCACCGCACCAGGCCAATACACTTCTTATTTTCCAAACAAGCAAATCCCTTGTGGTCAGGGCTCAGTAATTCTTTTGTAGCCCATAAGGGAGCTCAGCCAGATAATAAGCGAGAGCACACCAGCGTCTGACATTGTTCTGGACAGAGGTGTGTGCATTTTCATTTCACAGAGAAGTTGTGACTTGCCTGTGATGATGTAGCTGGTAAAGCAAAATCAGGACTAGGCCTGAGCTCGGTGGCTCAGCCTGTCATCCCAGCACTTTGGGAGGCCAAGGCGAGTAGATTGCCTGTGCCTATGGGTTTGAGACCAGCCCAGGCAACTTGGCGAGACCTCGTCTCTACACTAAATCAAAAAATTAGTTGGGACCGGTAGCACACGCTTGTAGTTCTGGCAACTTAGAAGGCTGAGGCAGAAGGATCACCGGAAGCCCAGCAGGTTGACGCTGGGGAGGCCGTGAGTGTGCCACTGTACTCCAGCCTGGGCAACAGAGTGAGACTCCAACCCAAACAAACAAACAAACAAACAAACAAGGACTAGACCTGCAGTATCTGGGTCTTGTTCCTGAGACTTGTCCCTATCTTCTCTCTAATGACCACACCAGGAAGTTCTCAGGAAGCACCGGTTTGTAAAAGAAGGGCTCCTGGGAGCAGGCAGGATTCCTAAAGGGGTCGACAGTGAGTCTCTTGTACCCTCCTGAGGCTGCAGCTCACACGTCCCATCCTATTGCCCCTGTGAGGGCAGCTGAGCCTTCTCCCACCCCCAGGAGCCTACCGGCCCGAGTGGCTCCCGTAGCCACGAGACGCAGGAGGCCTTTCTTCTTGAGGATACGCTACAGCCGATGAGGAAGCTGGACAGGAAGGCCAGGCCCAGGCCGATGTAAAAGCCATAGTTCCGCCGGATCCTCTCCTGCCAGCTCTCAAGAGTAGCATTCCTGGGCACCTCAGGGCTGAGGTCACCAACGATCTGGCACAGGACTTGCTGGGAGGAGCAGTAGAGGTTGATCAGGGAACCTGGACGGGAAGACCATGGGGAGACAGTCATGACAGGGACATGTGTACACTTTAAAAGCATTGGAATGGAGCTAGGTACAGTGGCTCAAGCCTGTAATCCCAGCACGCTGGGAGGTGGAGGTGAGAGGATTGCCTGAGCTCAGGGGCTCGAGACCAGCCTGGGTAACTTGGTGAGACCTTGTCTATACAATAAACCAAAAAATTAGTCGGGCGTGGTGGAACATGCCTGTGGTTCCAGTTACTTGGAAGGCCGAGGCGTAAGGATCACCTGAGCCCAGCAGGTCGAGGCTATGGTGGCCATGAGCGAGCCACTGCACTCCAGCCTGGGTGGTAGAGCAAGACTCTGAATCAAAAAAGGAAAGAAAGACAAAAGGAAAACACTGGAATGGACCACTTTTTGGATGCCGCTACAACGGCTACACCCCACATCACCCCCCCACTCCTAATAATGAATGTCTACTGAGCCCTCAGTCCAGACAGAGGCTTTATTTGCATGACCTTATCATACTTTCACAGCCACGTGTCATAGTGATGTCTTTAATCCCATTTCACGAACGTGGACAGGGAGGCAGGAGAGACCAGGTCACTGCTGAAGGACACACAGGCCATCTGACTCTGACTCCAGAACCCCAGTGTATGACCACTAAGGTTACATGTATGGCCCACACATCAGGCTCCCAGGTATCATCGAGTCCAATCTCCTGTCTTCCACAGGAACCCCCTCCCAGCCTCTGGGTGTATAGGCCTCCCAGAGGTCATGATTCCCCCAGGGCCTCTCTCTCTCCCGGAGGACTCATCACCTGCGTCTCCCTACGCTCCAGCTGCAATGGGAGGCCACTGATAGGAGGAGGTAGCGAGACTGGGGAGTCCACAAGGCCCTTCGAGATGAGATGACCAAGTGGAGCCCCCTGTCTGGCGGGACTGACCTTTCTCAGGCCTCACTTCTGAGACCTCTGTGCTGTGGCCAGTGGCTACGAAGGGACCTGTGTCCCGTCACCTCACACAGACTTGGTTTTGTAGGTTCTCCAAGTCCTAGAGTCCCCAAGTCTGAATCAGCCCGAGGGCCATCCCACCCTGGCTTGCCCTGCTGGGACAAACATCAGGATGGCAAGGACAAACCTGGGCACAAGAGTGGAGCCTCAGGCAGAAGAACGACGCACATTCAAGAAAACAGTGCCACAAGTAGCCACAATTCCCCAGTGCTGCCACTCTCATATCCTGTGTTCTGGGGTTTTCCATGAGGGTTGCTGACAACCACTTGAAAACAGATGCCAATGATCACCTCCAAGGCTTTAGATGAAGAAACTGAGGCCCTGATAAGTTCAGTGACTTGTCCAAATCTGTATTGGTGGTAAGTAATGAAGTGAGAATCGAACTCCAAGCCCACACTCTTACCCACCACATACCCTAATAAAGCAGCAGCAAGGGAAGAGGGCTGGGCTCCATTGGGCCTCTAAGAGGTTTTTTGGTTTCTTTTCTCTCTCTCTTTTTTTTTTTTTTTTTTAGAGATGGGGTCTCACTATATTGCCCAGGCTGGTCTCAAACTCCTGGCCTCAGGCAGTCTTCCTGCCTTAGTCTCTCAAGTAGCTGGGACTATAGGTGTGCATTACCACACCTGGCTAGTTTTTTTTTTGTTTTTTGTTTTTGTAGAGATGGGGCCTTGCGATGTTGCCCAGGTTGGTCTTGAATTCCTGGCCTCAAGCAATCCTCCTGCATTGGTTTCCCAAAGCACTGGGGTTACAGGCATGAGTCACCACATCTGGCCCTAAGAGGTATTTGAAAATATGAAACATTTAAAAATTGGGAGAGTTCCCTTGGAAATTCAGATTAGAGACTCTACTTAAAAATTAGAAGACCCGGGCTGGGGTCAATGGCTCAACCTGTAATCCCAGTGCTTTGGGAGGCTGAGGTGAGTGGATTGCCTGAGCCCATGGGTTTGAGATCCGTCTGGGCAGTGAGACCTCATCTCTACAATAAATCAAAAATCAGCTGGGTGTGGTAGCGCATGCCTGTAATTCCAGCTACTTGGAGGGTTGAGGCAGAAGGATCGCCGGAGCCCAGCAGGTCGAGGCTGCGGTGGCCGGGAGTGGCCACTGCACTCCAGTCTGGGCGACAGAGTGAGACTCCAACTCAAAAAAAAAATTAGAAGACCCACTTGCCTTACGAGCAACTACTGCCAGCAGCTGGGTATTGTTGCCCTTCCGCCATGTGCTTGGCGTCTGCAGGCATTTGAACCTGTGGCCTTGAGCAGAAGCCTTGAAAACAGATGCCAATGATCACCTCCAAGCCTTTAGTTGAAGAAATTGAGGCCCTGATAAGTTCAGTGACTTGTCCAAATCTTTCTTTTTTTCAGGCCGTGTGTCACAAAGGCCCAGGCTCCTGTCCAAGGATGTGAGACTGGACCAAGCACTTCCCCCCCCACCCCTGCACCAAGCTAGAGCTCCCAGCTAGTGCCTGGAAGGGCCGCAGAGTCTGAGCTCAGGCAGCTCTCCTGCCCTCCACAGGAGTCCCCTCCCAGTCTCTTGGAAGCTTCATCACCTGCGTGTCCCTAAGCTTCAATGAGAGGCAGTGAAAGGCCCCTGATAGGAGGAGGGAGCGAGACTGGGGAGTCCATGAGCCTATTCCAGGCCTGAGATGACATGGCATCAGCACATGTGCAGCACAGGGTGACATCTTGGTGGAACGGACTAAGGTCAGTGTGGACTTTTCTTCCATGACATAGAACCATGAATATGAGGGCTGAAAGAGCCCTTGGAAAGCAGTCTAACCCTCTTACTTTCAGCTGGGGAAACTGAGTCCCTGAGAAGGGGAAGGGCTTGCTGGTGGTAGAGTTGGCTCTGAAACCCACCAGGGGACACCCATGTGTCTTCTGCAGTGGCAGCTCTCTCTTTCCAACACCTGTGTCACAATCAAGAAAGGCAGGCAAGAAGCCTCTGTCATATCAGACCTGTTTGGCGCTGCTCACTCCTGTTTCACCAGTCAGGCCTCCTTGCCCAAGAGCCGAATCTGGGAGTTCCCAGAGCCCAGGAAATGAGCCAGCCTGGGAAGTCGTGGGCTGAGGAAGGCGACTGCTGAGAGGAAGGCCAGATCCTTCTCACGCCCCTCCCCTGCCCCCTGAAGATGCACCTTCAGCAGGCGGAGCTGAAGGACTTACAAGGGTCTTGGCAGCCCTTTGTGAGGCATCCACGAGCTCAGCACTCTCTTAGAGTCAGGTTCTCCCATTGCAGTGGCTGATGGCCAAAAGATATCCAAGGCTGAGCAGGGTGCTCAGCCGAGGAATGGGTGTTGGGCCAGATGACTCTTGTGTTCTCCTCCAGAATATGCTAGGCTCTGCCCTCGGGAAAGGGTGAGGCTGAGCGTGGCCTGCCTTGTTGGTCAGGAAACCAGAGGCAGACAACACCCAACAGGCTGGCTGGGAGCTTCACTGCAGAAGGGAAGAGGCTGCACTTCCGAGACCAAACCCCAAGGAAGGAGCTGAGGACAGTCGTGGGTTTTAGGATCCAAGAGCCCTGGCTTCATGGTCCATTTCCCCACTGTGTTACCTTGAGCAAATTATTAGCTTTTTCAGAGCCTCAGTTTCTACATCTCTAGAATGGGGATAGTAAAATAACAACACCACCTACCTACCTTGTAGAGTTGATCAAGGATTGAGATACTGCATGTCACTCCATTATCTAGCCAACTACCCGGTATGTGGTGAGAACCCAAGGAAGCCAAGGGTCTTCCCTCATCCTTCCCTGAGGTTCTTTCTCTTTCTGTTCTAAGAGAAGTGTATGGGTTTGGGGGTGAGTCTCTGTGCCCATCTCCCTCTGTCTTCAGTGGTCCTAACGGTGGCACAGAGAAACAACCAGCCTGTCTCTAAAATCGGAAGCAACTACACATTTAAAAACCCAGAACGTGGCTGGGCGCCGTAGCTCATGCCTGTAATCCCAGCACTTTGGGAAGCGGAGATGAGGGGGTTGCCTGAGCCCAGGAATTCGAGACCAGCCCGGGCATCATGGGGTAACCTCATCTCTACAATAAATCAAAAAAATTAGCTGGACCTGGTGGCGCGTGCCGGTAGTTCCAGCTACTTGGAAGGCTGAGGCAGAAGAATCGCCTGAGCCCAGTTGAGCCATAAGTGCGCCACTGCACTCCAGCCTGGGCGGCAGAGTGAGACTCCAACTGATAAACAAACAAACCAACCCAGAACTGGCCAGAGCAATGGCTCACACCTGTAATCCCAACACCTTGGGAAGCCAAAGCGGGAGGATCATGTGAGCCCAGGAGTTCAAGACAGTCTGGGCAACACAGTAAAACCCTCTCTCTAGAAAATAAAAATGAAAACATTAGGCTGGTGGCCAGTGCCAACCACTTGGGAGGCTGAGGTGGGAGGCTCGCTTGAGCTCAAAAGTGGAAGGCTGCAGGGAGCTACGACTGCACCACGGCACGCCAGCCAGGGCAACAGAGCGCGATCCCGACTCTAAAAAAACCCCAGACCCACAACCGCACCACCACACAAGCCGCCTATTCCGGGTAAGATGCGCGCGTTACCACGTCCCACCCCCCGCCCCGTCCCCTCGCCTCCCGGCCGTCACCCTCTCCACTCCCGCAGCGGTAGACTCCTTCCCCAGAAGCTTCGAGGCTGGGCGGGAGCCACCTCGTGCGGGCCCCCACCCCCAGCCTTGGCCC